AAATCTGAAACAACTTCCTTCAAGAAAAATGAACAGAAAAGGAAAAAGAAGAGTTTTTCTTTTTAAATGTATCTATCTTCTGTTTCTAGGGTGTATTGCTGCTTGCAGCTTGAAACAGAGACACTGCAAACAGCAGTCTCTTCAGGTCCTGGTATACCTGCACCAGTATCATGCAGCTTATGATATTGCTTTCAGCAGTCTCTCCCATGTCAGGCCCAAAATTACAGTAATGGCCAGTTAGGGCATACCATTTTTAAACAGAAGGCAAAAAGAGAGAGAGATGGTGAAGAATCTCAAACTGGATAAAATCCATTTATCTTCAACAAATTTGAGCAATATAGATTTTTCCCCTCTGAGTGGCCTGGAATACTACACAAATGAATTCACTAATATATTTATTTATTACTATACCACTATAGAGAGGGAAAAAAGAAAGGAAAAAGAGAGAGAGTAAGCACACAGGTTCAGTTCTTCAGGATTTGCACAGAAAAGTGCTGATGCCTGCTCAGGTCATTATGTATTTCTACAATGCCGCAGTATCCTGGGACCATGACAATACAGGCTGAGCAACACAGGATTTGGAAAACACTAGATTTGGAATCAGAGGGCTGGAGGAGATCTGAAGAGATCACTCAGTTCACCTCTATATCTTCAGGTAAGATCAGCTTTTGCTACATCATTTCTCACAGTAACTTACCTTACCTGTTCTTAAACATCTTCCAGCAGGAACCATTTAGGCCCCAAAACTATCTATTGTAGTGCTTTACTATCTTAACCACCAGAAAGCTCTCTCTAATATTTAATCAATCTTACTTGAATATTTACTATATATCTTAGCCATTATGGACACAGATAGGTGATGCTTTCCTTCCCCTTAGCAACAGCCTGTTTGCACTTCGGAAGACTATCATCCTTTGTTTCCATCACTCATTCTTCTTTAGATTAAGCAATTCCAGTTCCTTCAGTCCTTTTTTGTAAACTAGATTTCCTAGATTCTAGTTCGATATCATTATTCTTCTGGGAATACTCTAAGTTTGCCACATTTTTCTTGAAAATGCTCCAAAGTGGCAGTCTGAGTTCTGCCAAGATGACTTTGAACCATTTATCATGTTTTTTGCATATTTCTAGTCCCTTTTAATTTGGTTTGTCTGCACAATGCTTAGGATCACTCCCTCCAGTCCACATTCCCAAGGCTTGATATATTGATTACCCTTTCAAAATATCCCCAGACACAATCAACTCTGAGGCTACTCATCTGCCATTAAATCTCTTTTCTATTTGAAAAATTAGATTTAATCTGGTTCTAAACTTAGATTAAATCTAAACTACATCTAATCTAGTTTTTCAACTAAAAAGATCTCTCTTCTGGTTGGCTGAATCTTTGATCCATTTCCCATGTCTTTTTCTAGCACAATTCATGGGGCAGATCAGCTCTTCTTGCTCAAACATAATTTTCTCATTATTAAATTTTCAGGCTCTGTAGATATGTTTCTATAGCTGAGTCTGACATTTCGTAACTTTAGAAAAATCTCCAGGCACCACACAACCAATATGTGCTTTCCTGGCCCACATTCCTGTGTCCTACATGCCTTACTTTCCTACGTGCCTAAGCACAAAAAGAAAATAGTGCCTATTTTTCCTTACCTTAAAAATTCTTAAGTAGTAAAAAAGTAACTGATTTTAGTGCAAGTGCAGGAAGGAACTTTTTCTCTTCAGTGATTTAAGATTACAAAAGAATAAATGTAAAAGAATAAAATCAAGCAAAGGACATTTTGACTGACTAAAAAGGCAAAATGAAGGGGAGGAAGAAAACAGATGTGAGTACACTCGCATAGCTACTGAAGTAAGAGAATATGCACTAAGACATATTTTATGTACAAATAGAGGCGTTAAGCTGTAGGAATTAACCATAGGTCTCAGCTGCAGGTGATAAACTAGAGCAATTCAAAGTATCCTGCTCTTCTATTTTTATTCAGCAAGCTTTGTACTTCTAGATATTATATTACCTGCATAGCACTGTCCGGTTTTTTTTCCAGAAAGTTAAGACTAAAACTTATAAACTTAATTAAAAAATAAAATAGTTTAATAAGGAAGTTCAGTCATTAAATTAAGATCAAAGATTAAGATATGGAGCTCTTGTCATCATTTATATCTTTAAATTGAGTCCAAAATAAATAAATTGCACTAATTAAATATTGTTAGTCAAATTAAATGATTTTTCAAAAACACCACAGTCTAGAATTTAGTAGCATGTTCCATTGCTGTATAAGAACTGGAGCTTCTAATCATATTTCTTCTTAAAACATACTATTATTGTAGCATAGTACTATGCTATTATAATAGTAATAGTGCTATAATATAATTGTGCAGTACTATAATAGCATAGTATAGTACTATAATATAATAATAACTAAAATACAACGGTATCATATAGTATAAAACAGTTTTCAGAAGATGTAACCTATTAATAGTAAGAAAGTAAGCAGTCAAAAGTAATGATACAAGAAATTCATTCTTAGGAAATCTGTAATAATCAGATATCTTTTTGCAAATTCTTACTGAAATATTGGCAGAAGAAACTTTTAACTCATCTGGAGAATGGCAGGAGAACAAAAGCTCGGAGGCAGGGTTGATATGAAATCTCGAATATGGATACCTAAAGACATATCATCTTGAGAACACTGTTGAAAACTTGGGACAAAGTTTCCCATTGACTCTATTAAATGAATCAGTCACTCATTGAGCCTCAGTGCTGCCAAAGCATTGGACTACCCAAGCAGATAGAAAAAAGCTGGCCTGCACGTATTTGCTGAACGAACGTTTATTGAAATTTCTTTAGAAATCATTAACCAATAAATTAACTCCTATATAGCATATGCAGGGGCACCTAAGGATGCAGGTTGTCACCCCACCTTCTACATAGTACCAGCTGTCTCTTGCTCACCTTACAGCCTTTGGCCGCCTTCTCCGATACTACCTAAGCTTGGTATTAACAGCATTATCTTTATTTTAAAAATTAATTAAAAAGAACCTCTTAATATTGCAGTCTCTCTCATCACAAGGACTTCCTGTTCAAACACTTGCTTTGGTGATGAGAACAATAAAGCAAGAAATACAGATTACCGCTCTCTGAAAGTCATTCTGACATCAGGAAATGCTAGTATTTTGTAAACTGTGAAATATATTGATCCCAGAGATACACATCCAGGAGCATGGCAGTTTATAATAATGACTCCTTTGCCATTGCTAATGAGTGATAGCTCCCAAGCCACTGCATACATAAAATACATTTGTATCACCTTTAAAGGAGTTTATCTTCGTGTCTTAACTTTTAGTCCTCCCCTGAGGAACCATATTTATTAAGAGATTAGTTCACTCTTCAGAGCTAGAGAAAGTTTTAAGCAGAAAGCTTGAGCATGTTATCAGTTTGTATGAAAAGGAGCATTTTATACATACCAAATTCAAACAAACACCCATCTACTCTTTTTCCAGCCGTATTTTGTAAATGTCAAACCTGCTTTTTTTCCTAACCAGTGCACAGTTAAGTTTATAAGTTTGAAGGTGGAATCTCTGAGAAACAGAGATATAGGGGAGGGTTTTTCTTAATTATTACTACTAATAGGTAAAGTCATTTTTAGAGAAAAAAGGAATACCAGAAAAAAGATAAAAAGGAGTGAAAAGGGTACCTTCTTACAACATCTTCTCCATTCCAGCACGGGAGTCCATCGGCAGCCGCTAACTCGTTGGCACACAGCTGATCAGCCAGGCCACCGTAAAAAGCTCTGTAGAGACGGAGGTGGCTGACAAATTCTCTGCACAGAGGAACATGGGAAATAAATGACAGTGTCAATCAATAACATTAAGCAGTACAGCTGCCGTGCTTTGTTGCAAGAAGATAAAGAACGTGCCGTTTCTAATATTCACTATCAGTTCCAATGACTTTATTCATCAATTTGCCAATTTTCCTTTTAGATAAGCTTGATCCTCTCAGATATATTTCAGGGGTTTACAAACCTGATACTATTCTTGGTCAGAGTCAAACAAAATAATTTACTCATGCTCTGGAAGAGGTGTTATTTTCCTCCACTTTGAAATTTATTACTTTGTTCTGATATAGCTTGCATTGCTACTCTTGTACAAATATACCACTATTTCCAAATAAAGTATAGCAATTAAGAAAAGAGGCTTTATATACCAGTAATTAGGTATACAAATAAGTTATCTGTTTTTCAAAAGTGCTATCAACTGGTTTCCTACAGAGCGTTACAAATACTACAAAGAGTATTTGCTAGTGTTATAGAGAAATTCAAGATTTAAGTAGGAGACGGGTTTAAGGTGTAGATGTTAAATATTTAACGGATATTTAAATTACCCTATGAAAAATGACATCAATTTTATTATGTACTGTGCTGGTAGGGTTTACTTTTATTTATATATTGCTATTTTAAATAATTCTCAAGGTGCCCAGAGCTAATGATAAGTTTTTATTTTTAAATCAAAAGAAATGAATGCCTTTTCAGCTAGTATGCTTGTAACTGGACTGTGATATTTATGTTTTATAAACTGTTTGCTAATGTATTGAAAATCCTGAGAGACCCATTCCTACTGCGAAAAATATAAATATTTATTTATTCTAATTTAAAACATCACACTATACTGAAGTTATCTATGACCCACAGGCACAAAGAAGAAAGACATTAGCAAATGGTGCACTCATTGCTCTGTAAACCAGAAAGCTTCCTTATGTAAACATTTTTTCTAGTGTCTGGAGCTGCAAAAAATATGCTACAAATGTCCTATACATTTCCTGATGCTTAGTTAACATTAGTCTAACGTGGCATAAGAAATTAAATTGTTAAGCAGTGTTGACTTGAAATTAGAATAGATAAAATATGAGTAACTACATACAGTCTGTTATTTAAAATCCTCATGTTCTTTCTTGGCATTCTAGAGTAAATATTTTTAAACAGAGTATAGCGATTTAGATTTACTATGCCTATTAAATATGATATGAATGCATTACTAAGTCTAAAACTGTAGTTCTGAAAATCTCAAGTAGGGTCATTTTTGAATATGCATGATATATTGCATATGCACAATATATTTTAAAAACATAAACTTGATACATCTGCACTTTTCCAGCCATGAATAGTCTTATCCTGTATTATTCCAGCCCCTGAATTGCAACCAGTGTGCACAGTATGTTTGCAATTTTCCTCCATTTCCCATCAAGTGGGACTGATTTTATTTTGACTGTGCCTGGCAACCTTTGGGTTTACGTAGTGGATGAAAACTAGTGATTAGAGGCTTTTCTCATAGCAAATAGTTGGAATTTATTCTTTCACACAACCAATCCATGTATAATACAGAAATGGAAATAAATACAGCTGCTGTAATATCTTGTGACAAACTGCGTTATAACAGAAAGGTCAGCCGTTCAGTGTATTAGTAAATATATCCTGAGGCAAAGCAGAAGTTAATACAGAAGTAATAACTGATTTCAACCCCTGTAGATATCTGACCAAAGTAGTTAGAAGGGCAGATGGTTTGAATGTCAATTTTCACATCATCATCTTCTAGACCAGATAGCATATAATTATAGGCAGCTGAGCACAAATGTGCAATTATAGTCAGCAGAAGCTACAGATATTTCTTCTCTGCTTATTTGGAAATGTTCACTTTTTACAGTTTTATTCTACTTAAAAGCTTTCTGCAATGCTTAGTTCCGGAGGAAAAAACATTATAAGTTTTTAAGATTGCATTCTATTATGGAAGGTTCTAGTTAGTGTTTTTTTAAATTCATCTCACGAATTTTAGCTCCAAAAGCACAGCTATATTTTCTTTTTTTCTTGTACGACATGGCACTAGAAAACACCAGCCTAGGGTGGTGCTGTTTAAGCTGTCTAATTGTGAAAGTAATTTAGGAAAAGTTTAGGCAGAGGTAGTCCAACAAGTACTTTAAAATGTAAGATTTCAACTGGAGTTACGTTTGAAAAATATTAGGAAATTATGGAACTCTTAAGAGTCAGATATGGAATGTTTTTTAAGGATAACTGCTATTGATCAAGTCCTACACAATCTGGGAGAAGCCTCCTCTTTTCTGCTAATGCTCATGAAAGTTGCTGAGAACCAGCTGCTGCCAGAAGTCCACGGGCGGTGAATAAAGTGGAGTTTCGGTCAGAGATTAGCGCTTCCTTAAAAGCAGGCTATAACCATTCCTTGAAGTTACTCTTCCATCTGAGGAACTGCTACGGTTGCCATGGGAATGGCAAGCAGAATAGAAAGCGATTGTGACTAAAAGGGAAGGAGTTGATCCAGGAGGTAATCAAGGAAGATGATGTGAACAATAAAGTTGTGAAAATGAAATCTCTGCCGGGGATCTCATGCTCCTCCCCTCCCTTTTGGTGTAGGGCCTGCTGCATGCCATAAGGTGGTCCCAGCACCTCAGGCAAGGGGAGGACAACAGCAACCGCTTTGTGCTGCCGACCAGCTGTCAGGTCTCCCGAGGTCTCTCTGAGCGCTGGCGAGGTCAATCTGTGCACCACTTGTTTCAAATCATGCTACAGTCCAGGATTAAGTGAGATTTTAGAATATGGTTCTAAATTTGCGGAGTCCTGGCAACAGGAGGACATCAAAAAATTACTTACCCACACAAAATGGATGGATGAAAATGTATCTGTTTAATGCGCATTGCCTGATGACCTTCTGTGCTAGCTAAAAGACTCCTGTTTTGCATCTCTTTCAAATGTTCCTCTAAATCCTGCTTTCCTTCACCATTACCTGGAACAAGAAGAACCTTGCACTAGCTAGACTGGTCTGGCCTTTAAGCATATGGGTACTCTTTACTTCTCCAAACATCAACGCTGAGCAATTATTCCCTGCAATTATCTCACTTCTGCTTCCTTCTGCATTACAAACTGAAGTGAAAGGAAAAAGAGGACAAAGAGACCCTCTCTATATTTTAGCATGTAATAATAAGTGCCTTTAGTTTCAACTGTAATACTATCCATACTCCTTACAGGGCAGTCACTCCTTACTGTCATTAAAGACTTGACTCATTTGCCTAAATGTAGATATCTGGTGCCCTTTGAAGTGCTTTCAGGTACCCAGGATGATTGCACAGTGCTGGAGCACACAACACACAACATACAGGACAAACCAATCCTTCTTGGCAGCAGCTTATCAACTGGGGTCACTAGGGCATCTCCAAACAGCCCTGAATGCTTGCTTCTATGTGGGCAGCTGAACTGAGTCGTCCTCTCCATTGACTTCAATGCAGCTTAAACACACAGCTTATATGTAGGCATCTGCATCTTTCTGCAAATTTTACCTTGTGATGCTGAACAGGGTATAAATCTAATCCTAAAGTCTTTGCTGTCGCTCGAATTAAATATATACTGGCAAAAGAACCAGGGAAAAAAATCAAAAGGATTTACTCGAAGAAGGGTTTCAAGATTTAGCCCAAAATAATTTGTTGTCTGATTTTCAACAACAGAAGGGTGAGTGTATAAGAACAAAGTCATTTATTCTTTTATGGCTGATCGATTTGTACAAATAGTCTTCTGGTAACAGTGGCAATCACTTCTTGACAGATTTAATAACACCTACTGATTAAGTATAATCTGAAGACTAACACACAGCTAACAGTACAGCTAACATTCATATTTGGCAGTGTTATCCACTCTTTAAACTACGCTAAATGATCCTGCTCATGTGTCCGTTATTTCAGAAACTTAATCTAGTCATGAAACAACTCTTTCAGAAATGTAATAGAATAGAAGTTGTTGTTGAAAAGCTTTATTCCTTTCAGTCTCTATTTATTCTCCACTAATGCATGTCATTGCATTGAATATAATCTATTCTGTTGTAAAATTAACGGTTTACTTTATTCTTTCTTTCTGGCTGTAAAACTAATGTCTTACTTTCTTCTGTTGGCAAGGGTTTCTTCACTGTCTCTTGAGAACATCTTCAGCCCTTGATTATCTCTATTCTGATCAAAGGAGCAACCTGGCGACTGCGTAGGCTTTCTTATGGGAGGACCGCATACCTTGTACACCTAAAAGCAACACAAGACATAAGGTGGAAAGAACATTCATAAACAAAAATAATTCTCTAGTTCTCAGTTCAGTTTAAGTACACTTTAATAAGAAAGGAAGCCTGTGGACATACCATGAAGATTAGCTAAAAAAAGTTTCATTAAGTACGATATTTGTCAGTACTGATGTCCGTGACGAATGCAGTAAATACAACTAGTCTTTATATACAAGAAACAAACAAACAGAAACACCTCCTGCTTTTAAAGGAATACAAAGTGCATAAGAAAGTGAGCACATGTTTTATTGACCGTGTGTATTTTTTGCTATCAGGAAATTATTACTATGCAGATAGTAACAGCAGCTTCAGAGATCATGAAGTGTTGTGAACAACAGCTTATTTCCATTTTTCTGCAATGTACCCCAATCACATTTTTAATATGCATTGAACTTTGTGATTTCTTTCAGGGTTGATGAATTATTATGGCATGTTCAGCACAGTTACCCTGGGCATATAGTGAACACTTAGCAGGATAGAAACTTGCATTACAACTTTGCAAGATGTAAATTTAATGACCCAAGATATCAGTTTAATGATTCAGACCATAGATGTTGAAAATACCAAGGGATTTTATATGTCTGGCTTTCTCATCTTGATATCAATAGATACAAATTCACATGAACTTCCATTTTCTTCTTTACAAAATGCTCAGTTTCACATTTTATACTATAGAGAATATCAATTCATGATCATAGCTCATTATTCTTCCTAGTCACTGAAGAAAAATAATTAAAGCCACACATATTTATTAAATAAGAGATACTTCATGCTAAGGATCATGACTGACCAGATATTAAGCACAGTGAAGAGCGTATATCTTGTATAAGCTTGTACACATGCGCTACTCAAAAACTAATGCTATATGTGAATTATTAAAACTTGGTTCCAACCTTCTTAAAAGGAAAAGAGAGAAAGGAGAGCATGTTTGGCTCTAAGACAGAGATCCAATTTTTGAAGCAAAACATATTCAAAACGCTCCCACAAAAAAGAGGAAAGGGTGTGTGCATTATGCAACAAGGATTATTGTTTCCTGTTGCTTTTTATGTCCTCATATGTAAGAACAAAGAAAGCAAAGCAATCTGTTTCAACTTATCATCAATCACATTAAAGTCTTAGATAGTATATCTAAAAATGCTTTAGTCTCGGCTCAGAAATACATTTCAAATTTAAGATAAAAGGAATATGTCTGATTATGATGGAGTTTGTTGTTGTTGTTATGCGTGGTGGTGTAAGTGGTGATAACCAAAGACTTGTTGAACGTGCTCACCTAGGCCAGACAAAGGAAGAAAGAATCAGTATTCTTAGTTCATATAGAACAAGCATTCATTGTATGCACTGAAGAGTCACATGAATTTAGGATTCATATGTCTAAATACAGGTGTCCAAACCCTTCAAACTGAGCTGCATGAATTTTCATGAAAGATAATTGTCCCTGGACATACAGCTAGTGTCCTTTAAGGACTTGGTTGGATTCAAACAATGAGGTGAATATTTAAGTTCATGTCTATCAGAGGCAGTTTCTTCTTGCGCAGCGTCTTGTTGCACTTAATCTTTCCCTCAAGTTCTTTCCAATTTTCCTCACACTTTTTCCACTATTTCCACTGTTAAGTTTCCTTCGGAGCACGTTAATTCACATTCTTCATTAACTTAATTGGACTCCCATTCTTTCCGCCATCGCTCACCATATTCTCTCTGGGCTTCACCTATCCTCATGCAAACATGCTGCATTTCGCCATTTCACCTAAATAGCAGTCTATCTTTTCAGCCCTTCTGTATCACTCTGATCCTGACCTACCACAAGAAAAAAAAAAAAAAAAAAAGCTTTTCCTGTAACAACTCTCACTTTGCTCATGCTGTTCCCTGATGTGGCACTGGGAGTATTACACATATGACCAGCTTCCGTGACAAGGAAGCAACTGATATTTTAGGTTGCCTCAGTTTGGGCTTACTATTGGGGGTTATAGTAAGGGTATAATAGAGAGTAACAGTCAGATCCAGATGTCTAGGAAAAGAGTCTTTTTCTTATGGCAGACATGAGTTATTTGTGTAGATTTTAAAGACTTATATGTGCCTTGTCCAAGCACTCTCAAAGACTGACTGCAGGGTGGGAGACCGTGAGAGATGGAGAAACATGATGCAGATGCTTCACTAGCTAATGCAGCCTTACTCTGCCCAAAGCAGATGAGTACCAATCCTTTGGATCAGGGAAAGAAATAAGAAAAAAAAATAAAAGAGAAAAAGATTTGGGTCCAGTTATAGCAAACTGAAAAAAATATATACATTCAAATCTAACTAAGAAGGCAGTAGTATTGACAGCTATTTCTGTTTCTTGAATTAATAATAAAATCTCAGCATATTTTACTCTGGCTAGAAGATAAAAACAAATGAAGGAAATCAGTAACTTTTATAGGCATAGTGGTTTGGAGTATGAACAATTTTATTTTGTGTATTTCATATTTCTTTCAAAATGACTGCCTAATGCCATTTTTCGCTGTTTATTCTCTTTGAGTGAAGGTCTCAGGAAAGGCAGTAGGCAATACTGGGAATTTTGCAGTCACTGACATTTTTAGAAGAAAATTTTTGTTTCAAAGATAATTTTTTCCTTTAAACATAATCTTATCTAAGTTTTACATAAATAAACACCATGAGAATCTGTTCACTATCTAAAACATCTTTTTAAGAAATTTTTTTTTCAAAAGCCATCTATAGAAAATTCTTAAAGCAGAGCTGCTGAAAGCAGCATCAGTTAAACTGTAAAAGGTGTCTGTACAGCACCATGTACGCTTTTGTCATCCCCATAATGAAGTATGTGATAACAATCATATGGCTGAGAACTCAGTTATATTAAAGATATCTGTGAGATGATATATGTGAGATGTGATATATTAATAATATGTGAGAGCATTCAGCTCTCCCAGCTGAAAGTAAGCTCACTAACCTTTAGCAAAGTCACTTCTTCAGATGTGGTTTCTGCAGGAGGAGCTACTTCAGTATGTATGAGCACGCACTCTGACGACATCTTCCATCTCTGTCCTTTCTCAGCTCTCTCATACTCCAAATACTGGCACCACTGCCAGACTGATTGCCTTTGTGTGATATTAGTTCTTCTTTTTATGTTTTGATACATCACACTTGCATCATTCACCCAGCTGAACCCAACTTGTCTATTTTTTCAACTGTTTGCTGTTGGCTGTCACTTTTATGTCATGTTTAAATCATTATATGTATATGCATGTCAAAGGCCTCCCTCACTGGTTTAGTCTTCATTGTCACCCAGTTTTGCCATTAAGCTGTTGCACGTGTAAAAAGGTCTTATAGTCTTATCTTGCCCCAGGTGCCTGTTCTGCCTATGAGTAAAAAAAAAAAGCAAAAACGTCTGAATTTCACTTTCCGGTACACAGCTGGCTATATTCTAAAAAATAGACAAATACACTTTTCCCTAAAAGCTTTTGCTTTTCTGATGCACTACTAAGGTCTCTGGGAATGAGTATAAATGTAATGCCACTTAGCTGAACTTCCAATGTTTTCATAGGGACTGTAGCATTCATTAGCCACATTGTTTCTTTATTTTTAGCCTTTGGGCTGCCAATTTAATCATCCTAGTAAAAATTCATTCAGTGCTATCAGTGTCAGTCTTCAGAGACCTAGACTGGTATGATAACTTCGAGAGAAGGCGAATGCTCTCCCTGTGCTTATGAGCTAACAAATGATCATTTTTGCCGTAATAGCTGATCAGAATGCATTCTTACCCTCTTCTAGTTACACTGAAAGGGTATTCCTACTGAACATTTTCACAAGTTGAGCATTTTTCTTGGCCTCAGACGTAAAACCCTAAAAGAAAGTGTAAAATAATTCTTTAGGGGGACCGAAAATTCTCTGAGAAAAGAGAGACTGAAAAATCACCAAAAAATTATATAGGAGAGAATTAAATTTCAGGAAGAGTTAGAAAAGACTATAACATTTTAGAATAGACAAGCATAAGAAACTTACTAGTGTTTTCAAAAATGTATGTTTTCCTGGTTGAATGTTCTTAAACAAATACTACCCAATATTTAGAGGCATAAAAAGAAACCTCAGAAAATGATAAAACTTCTCATTTCCACAGTTCAGACAAACCTATTGCCATTATACTCAGCATGCTGTTATTATGCACAATTTGTATGCCACAGTATGATGACTGGGTTAATTAAAATCACTTGTAATAACCATGCACTTAAATTGCAATTAGTGCCACACATGAACTTTATGGTAGTTTGATTTTGCTTGGTGCAATTCTGTAGAATGTCTATGCTTACTTACAGTTTGGAAAACTGGAGCATCATAAACCTTTTTATTTACAGAGGGCTGGATAATGGTGTGAGCATCACATCAATAATAGTGTGATTCTATCCTCTAAGTTCATATATTCAATAGGAAAAATCTGTTACATTTTATGGTATTTTTTCCTGCTACAGAAATGGTTCTTTCTGATCTCAGCATTAGTACTGAAATGGAAAATCATTTCCATTATAAATATTATTTCCATTCTGAATTATGAAGATCATGCCTACATTTAATTCAAAAAATGAAAATAAAAGTGATATTTCTTCTTTAAGAAGACAAGGACAGAACCTGGGCAGTACTTTAAATACAAGGCATGGAGTAAAACCCAATGTAATAAAGCAAAAAAGTGAGTCATTTCTGGAGTAATCTAGAGTGGTCCATTTCCAGTAAATAAGTGGCAAAGAGGAATTTGAAACACAGAAACGATTGCTAGGTGAAATAGTAGCTAACCAGTCCTACAGAAGAGAGAGATGCCATACAGGTAGATTCAGACTTGACAAGTATCCTGATTTCCTTCAAATATGAAAGAAGTTTAAGAAAAAAAATGCATATATATATATATATA